CTGGAGGCCATATTCTTGCACTTTCCTCCACACCGCTTGTTTCCAGTGGAACACATCCTGCATGGCACTGGACCTCCGGGAATACCTCCTGCATGGCCTTCCAGGCTGACACCTCAAAGTCGAGCATGCATTGCTCAACTTGGACATCCTGCAAACAAATCAAAATGAAACACGTGCCTTAAGTTTCAAATACTTGGGTGGTTTCACAAATAAGGCAAATTTTATGAAGTGGAAAAGAAACAAAAATCACTGAATGAAGACAATTTTTGTTAAATTGGAAAATGTGCAATTACCCCTACGACTTCAAGTAGGCAATCCTTGACAGCACGGAACACCCACCTGTAATCTCATCTCAGCCTCGACAGCATCAAGACAAAACACAGAGGGACCTGTTTCATCTCCCCATCACGCTTAACGAAAGCGTGAATGGAGAACGGCTGTGAAAATGGCTTGGTCACCACCTTGAATGTTCCATCCACATACCATCGTTTGCTGCTGGCCAGTAATGTCAACTGGTGCCTTGCTGCAAAAACAAGATGTCTCTCCTTCCCCCGCCTGATGTCTTTGCGGAGGAAATCTACAGATATGAAAAATCAGATAAACAACAAAGTGACAGTGATGTCACCATATACTCGCTGCTTCCCCGTCTGATCTCTTTCTGGCTAAAGAGAACCTATACAGATACAAAAAAATCTGGCAAACGATACACCGATTTTAGCGTTAGAACATAGCATTTGAAGAGCAGTAAAGAGCAATGGAAAAATTCTTGGAGGTAAATTTTCCCATACCCTCATCAATGAAGTCTTCTTGGAAATCAAAGTCCAGGTCGTTGGGGTCCTGCGGTCTCAACCTCTGCCGAGCACGATTTGCTTAGCGAGCTAGGTTGATGGGCTTTGGCAAAGCTGGTAGGGGAGCGTCCGATACTGTTTCTCCAATCGCTTCGTTAGTGATTGCAGTAGCTGACCTGAACGTAATGGCAACGGCCCTATCCTTCACCTTGGTGATCAGGCGAGCCACAACGTTGTTCCCTGGCTTCCCAGGGTGGTTGTGCTCGACCGACCCCGCTTCGAAGTGGTCTCCCGTCTGTATCACAGACGCACCGCACTGGATGGTCTTGTTACGGACGGCGCATCTGTTGAAAACAAAAATCAATTGAGTGCTATTCTTAGCGACAAGTGAAAGATCTAAGTATTTAAAACATCAGTAAGATATACATAAAACTTAAAATGGATGAAGAATTTAGCCAGAGAGATTAGCGATAGCACCACGCACACTTGCTCACACAAACTGAAGAATTTGGGTAGAAATCATTTCAATTTCAATCAAGTGGAAAAGGATAGACGTGATTAAAAAGTATGCAGTACCTCCAGTACGTCTTCTCACCCCGAACCTTCTTGACGGTGTAGCTGTACCCCCTTGAGTCTGTGAGTAGATTCCGCCGTTGTGAGGATGACACTACAAGGTCGTATGTGACCTCGTCATTCATCGGGAGGTCACCATCCACAGTGTCATTGTCCATGCTGTCTTCCTCAAGAGGCTCATTCCATTCGTAAGGGATTCCAACACCAACGATGTCATCTGGACCATCTTGGACGTCTAATGGTGGTGTTGGCGATCGTGCAGGAGCTGTTTACATGGGACCCGGTAAAGGTGGTGGTGTTGGTGATCATGCAGTTTCCATCTGGCTGGAATTTGATGAAAACTTGATGGATAATCGTGTACTCTCGGCCTATACAATGAGTAATTTTAAAAACCATCACGCATAATCTCTGCGTGTGCTAAATGGCTGCAACATTGAGGTTTATTAATGGCATCACACTTTTTACCTTTGAAACTTTGAAGAAAGTTATAGGGAATGATATAAAATACTGTTTCTTTACTGGTACGTTAATTTATGATGCAAATAAGGGAGATTTAAACTCTTATTGCAAAAAGAATTACCTTCAGATGTTCCAATTTTCAACAGAACTGAAAATCAAAATTACCTTGACAACAGCATCGGTGTTGCCAGCGTTGACATCCGTCGCATTGCACTGCATGCTGCCAAGATGTAACGTCCTCTCTACACGTAATGCAGGGAAACAGTGGCACAGGCTTCCCCGAATTTCTCAGTTTTCGAGTTTGAACAGGCATGGTGGTTGAAAACCGTTCAGGACTAGATTTGATATCAGTGATGTCTTGGAACAAGTGATGAGTAACCGACGAGCATCGTATTTTTATGGAGGCACATTTCCTTTGATGTCTTATTTGCCGCTTGTAATCTGGAATCTCAATCGGTTATTAGCTTCCAAGGTACCGGCGTGATTGACCACAAAGACTGACTTTGTCACCTTCCATTCTTGAAACCCTATGATCGGGGAGTGGGAGCTTGGGACAACCAATGGGAGCAGCTTTTGGAGTGTGATTGACAGCACCAAATCATTGACGCCCTTTCTCCGAAGTTTTTTGGCACTCCAGATCACCAGCAGAAATCGAATGAACTTTCAGCAAACAGCCCTCAAAGTTTTTGTTGCAATAAAAAGCCACAGATAGGCCCTTCTGATGTACATAAGAGATGCTGCATACGTACAACACATACTGCAGATATACATCAATATCACGAACATTGACCTTTCACAGTGTCTTATGGTGTTATCCGGTCCCCACCTTACTTTTCAATTTGTTTTTTTTTTGGCCTGGCAAGTCTTACACCTCCACCTTGCCCCATCCCCCTCCCAATACCGGCAAAATTTACACAGATGGATCAATTCATCCATACAGGCCTAAACTGACTGCCCAAATAACGCAAATAGGTTGGTAATTTCCAACAACACAAATCAAATCATTTTAAAATAAAAATGTGGAATATTTCCTATTGTCTTAAACTTGGAGACGGTTTTAAAGCAGGCCCCTTATAAAAGTGAACAAAAATTTTGAAAATATGCGTGGAAAGCAGTATCATTCCTGTTGGCGAATTTGTGAAATACGATGCAGCCACCTTAATGCGCCTCTGCAGGTGTTGCTTCTGTGCTGGTTAAGAGTCCAATTAGGACCAATTAGGCTTTTTTCACTTTGATTTCAGTGGTGATCAGCACCCCCTGGAACCCTGCCACTGTCAAGGAATGCTGAATGAACTTACCGCCTTTTGTGAGTCAGTGCCATGCCGCGCGTGGGATTAAATCCCTTTGCGTTGGTACATGAAGCGCCATGAATGAGTTCGAATGATTGACAGATCCTATAGCTTTTTTTTTTTTTGAAACTGTCAGTCATTAGCCGTACCAAAAATATCAGAATTAATTTAAGTATTATCTTGAAGTGGGCAGAAATTGTCTCGGTTGCAAACCGGAATATATATAGAAGCAAGAATATTTTCTACTGATTTTCCTTTCATCTCACAGGTCCTACCTTAAGTCTTTACATCAAAATATGAAACTGACTCTAACTACTTGTACTGGTATGTTTAGATTATTATCACGAGGTTGCCAAAATAGTATTAAGGGTGCAATCCACCAAATTAATGGTCGTATGTCTGCTCGCAAACTCATTATTAATATTTTGTGATCCCACTTTTTTTTACAATAAGACTTGCCATAATCACGAGGGATCATAGAACTATTTATATAAATCCCAAATTTGGGCTTGATACTTTTCAGTTCAGAGTATTTCTTCACAAAAAGCCGCACATTGTCGGCCTATTTTGGATAGAGGCGGGCGGCTAAATTCAGAGCTGAGCGCATAGTTTTACTACTATTAGGGGGGGTACCTTCTGGAAAAGGCAAATAAAAGAATTCATAAAATTGAAACGAAAAGTGATCAATCTGGCCATAATATTGAATTTCCAGCAAAAAAATGAATGCCAACCTCTTCGCGAGGTTCAAGAGTCAGCGCTACTTTGGTCTACGGGCGCACATTTGGTGTAATGCAACCATAAGACTCAGTGGGTCCGAGTTGACTCGAGGTGGGACCGAAATGGCGTGGGTCCAAGTTGGCGTGGGTCCGAGTTGGTTGTGGGTCCGAGATGGTTGTGGGTCCGAATTAGTATTGGGTCCGAGTTGGCGTGGGTCCGAGTTGGTCGTGGGTCCGAGTTGACCTGATCCCGTGATACTTACCCCTGCCCAGCCTACATATGCAAATTTCCCATGTGCCTATTACAATTCAATGAAAGACTTGATTATGCATGCTGTCCCTTGACCCTCCACAAAGCACTGCAGTCCTGCCACCATGTTCGCCCTTCTTTTCGAAGCAGAAAGGTCTCCGCAGCTCACTTCAAATTTACAACGATGGCTCCCTTGACCTTAACACTGTCAGATGCAGTCTTCACATTCCCCAACTTCACCTTAAACGAGCCGGGGGAGGGGGCAGAATTTGCCCCCTCAAGCTTTTTTCCTGTCAGTATATTAGCGCAGTGCATTTTTTAGAAGCTGGGGCCTTAAGAGTTGGTAGAGTAACTCTTTGCAGTCATTTTGACATGAATCATGTGAAAATGAAACATACTTTTCTTGCACAGCGTAAATTTTTCCAAGACAGATCAGCCAAAAGTGTAAAGCGGTACTTTTTCCACTGTGGTCCTCAATGTACATGTACACAGGTTGGTACTGGTACTCATGGCTGGTGTGGTACCCATGAAGCCTTGAACTTCATATGACCAGGACAACAAAAGAATGTATTGAGTTCAAACTTTGCATGCATTTGNCCGAGGGTCGGCGCTATTTCGGTCTACGGGCGCGTATATTAGGTGTAATGCAACCTTAAGCCTCAGTGGGTCCGAGTTGACTCGACGTGGGTCCGAGTTGGCGTGGGTCCGAGTTGGCTTGGGTCCGAGTTGGTTGTGGGTCCGAGTTGGTCGTGGGTCCGGGTTTGTATTGGGTCCGAGTTGGCATGGGTCCGAGTTGGTCGTGGGTCCGAGTTGGCATGGGTCCGACTTGGAATGGGTCCGAGTTGGTTTGGGTCCAAGTTGACCTGATCCCCCTTCATGTATTTCGGGATTTTTCATCCACTGATGGAAAAAAATCCTTCGGAGAAATGGCGTCAGATGATGGAAATTCAGCTGTGACTGCCTTAAATCAGCAATTGAGCTAGGAGTTTGCAGATATTACAGAGACTGATCCTGTTATAGCTGTGTCTTATTTGGAAAAAAACATCTTGGAAACTCGAGGTCAACCTTTAATTTGTTAACAGTAGGCCTACGTTAGCGTTGATTCAATAATTGTGTTACGCCCCAACTATAGCGTCTGTTCCACTGTCCCAACTATAGTTGGGACCGTCCCAACTGTAGTGCTGCAGTTGGGCTGGCCCAATTCCCAACTATTGTTGTAGGCACTTCACCCACACGAGCACTTCTGTTGCCGAAATCTGACCTCGTATTCCTTTCCACGGACAGGGCACAAACTGCTGTACAATCCCTATGGCAAGCGCTGCTTCCGCTCCACACACGGTCCTTGGCACGCACTTTCGGCAAACTTCGTAAACTCGGACTTCTCGACCGGTCATTTTCGGTCGAAAATCGCTGGATTTCTATTGGTCAAATCCCCACGAACACGTCATCATCGGAGAAAAGAAGACCTTCGGCCCCTTTCGGCTTTAGCGCTTGTAAATCGACCGACGCTTTCAACTCCAGCGAACTGTTTACAATTTTCAGGCCGTCAAAAATCACATTTTGAGTCGACGAATCGGGAAGCACTCTGGTATGTACACATAAGTATATATCATAGATTTAGAATCATGAGTATGAATATCATGTGAAAAGAGGTTTTTCTGCGACACGCCGTTCTTCAGGGGTAGTTTTTGGAGTCCGATAACTGGAACGCCGTACACCACACAACCACCCACGCGCCCAGTACACAGGCACGGTGGCACGGCCCGGCCGCATGTGTACGTGTAGGCCTACTCGCTTTTACGGTCAGTCAAAACCGCATGGCCGATCTCCGGCTCGTCGCGGCTAAATTTTTCAAGATTTACACATTCACGGGGTTTGGGGTTAGAGAAGGGTTTAGTTGTAGCTGTAAATAAGTGATGGTTTAAAATAAGATTGTGATTCACGTTTTACAGTATATGTTTTTGCTCTAAATTTTTCGTAGTTACATTTGCAATGCGTGGCAGTGGGCGATACCATTCATGTACGGGGGTGGTGTTAACTTACTTGTTCTGTAGAAAAACTGCGCTGGATTCAAATTCTCAAATTTCAAATATTAGGTTGTTAATAAAGAGTTAATTCGTCTTGCATAATACTGCATATTATTTTGAGAGGTAAGTCTCTTGGTCAAAATAAAAATGTGCGGTGAAACAACTTTCAACCATAAGCATGTACCCCCCACTTTGAAATGAACGTTTCTGTACATGTACTGGCTGTTATCGATTTGTGCAGCATAGCATGCATGAAGTTCTGAACTTGTTAGAATGAAACTTTAAAAGGGGATTTAAAAAGTTGTACTTTTAGTAAGTTTTGCTCTTGTCATGAAATAACAACGTGGCAAAAGAAATGCAGTCATGAAACCTGAGAGTTTTAAGTGCAAACGTATGAAAAACGAAATTGGTTTCAGGAAATTTTGACATACACATCAGGTATAAATTTTTTATTCAAATGCTTGGTTGTGTGGTAAATTGTAGTTTTTTTAATTAATAGGTATTATAATTTATGTTTATTTATGGTTTCCCTCCACACATTTTGCCGTTACTTATTTTGTGTCATCCATACATTGTACACCAACTTCATTTGAAGATCCATACTTCTTCCTCCATGGATGGTGAAGGGGAATTCTACAGTCTACACTGACAGTAGAGAGATATTTCTGTCTCTTCTTTTAAATTGGCGTCAATGTCATGTTTGATTCCTTTGTGTAGTCTATCTTGCCAGATACGTCAGTTGAAGGCAGCAGAGGTCCAAGTGTACTGAAATCATTGTTTAAGTCCCTAAGGTCAGGTTGGCATCTGTAACACCTCAAAAAGTGTTTTATGTCAAATGTATTTACTGTATGTATATTGGATAATGATGTAAATAGACTCCTCAGAAAATTATCTTTTTTCGAAACAAAGTTTGCATGAAGAACGAGTATTTTTTAGGTGATAATAACAAACTCAGTTGCCTTCTATTTCTGCACCAAAATATTAATTCATCTTTCAATTTA